GACACAAAGTAATAACCGTACTCGCGCGAATAAGCGCCCGGGCGCTTAAAATATTTTTTGCACTTTCTGAAGGGGCGCTTAATCAAACGGGCGCTTATTCAAACGGGGCGCTTGTGAAAACAGAGTGGAAATTGAGGGGACGCTTATGGCAATAGATGAAAATTGAGGGGTTCTTATGGGAAATTATTTTAATAATTAAAAATTCAAGAAGCACTTTTTGAATGAAAAAAGTTTATATAAGGACATTACGAAAGGTCGAAAAAAGAAAAAGAGGAGTAGGACTAGACATAGACAAATATGTAAAAAGATTAAAGTTGGAAATATACTGTCTCTCCAGGGAGCTCTCATCTGTCCAGGGATCGGAGCTCTCATCTGTCCAAGAGAAATATCCTCATTTTGATATTGACTGAAGAAGAATGTGTTTCCACTCTACAGCTCAAATCATGCTAACAACCACAGCCCCAGGATTGATTGGATTATTGACTTGCTAAAAGATTTTCTATCTTATGAGGGGCGCTTATTCAAATTAGGCGCTTTAGGAAATTTTCACGTTAGGAGGGGCGGTTATTCTCTCTTCATTGTGTAGACATATGGTAGGTGTCTGGAATATTACTAATGTTATGTATTGAATTTCATTTTTATTGATTGTTCGCAGAATGTATAAGCAGAAAGCATTTTTAATACCATTTTATCAGGAATTCCGGAGTTACAAAATGAACCAATACACGATACAACACCAGTTCATTTCGATATGGAAGATGAAGAATATTTTGCTGGAACAGAGTCCCCATCTATGCTTTCATCTAACTGAAAGCAATGATGATGGTGATGATGATTCCACTTAGCAGATTAGGAAGGAGCCTTTCAGATGCTAGTGATGTTGATGCTAGTGATTTTGATGCTAGTGACGGTGATTCTAGTGACATTGATGATCAGCCCTTGAGTGTTCTTCGAAAAAATGCTGGGATAATTAGAAAACAACAACAACGGAAAAAAAAGAAAGTGATATGAGACAAGAGATCCAATTTTTTTTTTCAGAGGATGCAGGTGTCTTCAATAAATGAGTTTGCAGGTGTCTGCAATAAAGGAGTTTGCAGTCTGTATTTCACCTACTGTTGTTTTTTTTTTTTTTTTTTTTTTTTTTTTTTTTTAGACGAAGACATATGAAACAACATTATCTACCAAATAAACCTCTATGCAAACCAGAAGGGTCATCATTCCCAACTATTAAAGGAAAACCAACTTTTAGGGTTTATTGGAATAAATTTATAGCATATAATTATTTCCCTGTTTTTGGAGTTTCTGCAGATATCATTCTTCTGAAGACGATCTAAGCAACTCAATCGAAACGTCGAGACTTTCTCAACTACAACAGTTCTTTTCAGAACTACTTGCGTGGTGTACCGCAAGTTTCAACATAGGCCTATATAATAATATATGGGTTATCACCACCTTTCGTCATGGAGAGATTACTAGTGCTGTGATGCTGACTTGAATGTAAACTTTGTGTCAAGCTGCTTGTCTCGCAACCGATTTGGAGATATTCTCTCAATTCTACATGTCAATGATAACATGAATACGCCTGACAAAATCTATAAATTACGGCCATTGGTCAGTGCTCTAAATAAGGATTTTGCTCTTTTATATCAATCAGATAGAAGGCAAAGCATTGATGAGAGTACAATCCTGTTTAAGGGACGATCATCTCTCAAACACTCAAACAATATAATCCAATGAAGCTCATCAAAATGGGGTAAAAATTAGGGTATTGGGCAGATAATTCGGGATACACTGGGCAATTTATTGTGTGCCAAGGAAAAGGTAGTGATGTGGTACAGGAAACTGATTTCCCTAAAGGTTATGGTCTGGGAGAAAAGATTATCCATGACTTAACAAGACCTCTTGCGGGCAAAACTTACATTGTCTACTTTGACAATTATCTATAGTGCCATTATTGGAAAACATGAAAGACGATGGTTCTCTTACATGTGTAACCATCAGGTCAAACCGCAAGTACCTTCCAGTTCTTTCCGATGGCTTGGAAAATAGTGGGGAATATGATTACACAAAAAGGCAGGGTGGCATTAGTGTCTTTAAATGGTTAGACAAAAATCCATATTAATTTATTTCAAATTACTATGGTTCCGAAACAAAGTGTTCAAAAGGACGCTAAAAGATGACTCTAAAATAGATGTCCAAGAGTAGCAGTAGACTATAATTAGTATATAGGTGCAATGGACAAAGCAGATATGTTGGGGGTTTTGTACGGGGTCGATAGAAAGTCAATAAAATGGTGGCAAAAATTGTTTTGGGGAATCGACATAGCCTGAAGGGACTTCAGGGACGTCAGCGACCAAAGACTAATTAGCTACATAATTAATTGAATAAAGTTACTGGCATTAAATTAAACTTTGAAATGTGTTATCTTCATCACATCATTTTTAGTCTTATAAAACTTTATAAAATACATATAATTATGAGCAATTAAAAATATCATGGACTGGAAAGGGTTAGTTATCCTTATATAGTGTATGTACACATATTCGTGTGTATTTTATGTCGGGTGAGGTTATGACGATGTATATTGGTGCAAATTTGTTTACCTCGCTGTGTCTCGGGTAGTAAGTAAAGTTTTCACTCGGCATCAAGAACCATGGACTTTTTTTTTCAAACGTAGCAGAATTTAATTCGCATATGCCAGTCATTGAGTCGAAGTTGATAGACTTGCATGTTTTTTTTACAAAACATTTCATGGCGCAAAGACCCAAAGTTGTCTCCATAAATGTCCTTAGATTATAACACTGAAGTTTCTTGTGCTGATGGGCGCCTTCGTGGTCGATAGCTTTGAGACAGCAAGAGCCATGTGTCATATCTATTAGAAGGAACATAACGTTAGTAACTCAAAAATTACAATTGAATAAAGACAGTAGAAAAAGTACGTTCATTTCAAAGAAAATCAAATTTTAGTTCTATAAGGAAAATAATCCTTATTTTGTTTTGTCCTGATCCTGGTAAATGTAAGTGTGAACACCGTTATTATATATGACTTTATGCTATATTAAATTATGTAAACTTGCAAAAAGGTTTGCATTTGGCGGCCTTTTGCGAGCCTGTGAGTATGGACCTAATAATAAGTCCATGCTGTGAGTACCATGGGCGGGTCCAGATTTTGTAGCAGGGGGTCCAGAAAGACAAAGGCACTCTGTATAAATGGCATAAGAAAATATCTTGTAATTTTGTAACGTGGATTCGATATTTTCTATTATTGTTTCAGTTTTTTCTGTTATACATGTAGTGGCGATGTAGCTTGGTGAATAATATGCTTGCGCTCCGGGGTCCTGGGTTTAAGTCTCGAGAAAGCACAATGCTTTTTTTCTCCAAGACTGTAAACATCTTCACTTCCTAAGTCTCCTAATAATTATTTCATTCATTAAAAGGGTCCCTGAATATAAGCCTTTTTCTAGGATACGCTTGAATGGTCACCTTTCCATCCTCTTTAAATATGATTTTAAACTACATGAAGTTTTATCTATTAACGGTATTAATGATTCCATAAGCATAAAAAACAACATGATCTTGAACAGCTTTTACGAAATTATATGTATTTATGTCAATATTATTGTTGCCCACGAGGTAAAATTTGATTTTTTTTCACTGTTGTATTTATGTCGGTCGCTCATTTGGATTTTAAAAAGTATGTAAGCCATAGGTCTATTATTTACACTACAAATTATGGTTCTATTGTCTACATCAACTTCTATATACTCACCGTATTTCGAGGTACAAGATATACAGTATTTATTCGAATAAAAGCCGCGCTTTGAATAAATGCCCCCTCGAATAAACGCCCTCTCTAGAACCTCATTTGGAATAACGGCGCCTCCCTCGAATAAACGCCCCTAGACGTTTATTTTTTCTCTCAGAAACGTTCGCCTAAATGATGACTGTAAATAAATATAATGGAAGCAACATCATTCTAAACACATTCTATTAATGATCTACTCCAGTAAACGTGGTTGGGATCAAAAATCCTTTATGATTACGCAATCACCTTTTGACGGTACGTGTTGTAGTTCCAAATTTACAGTGAAATTAAAGGGCGTTTATTTAAGTATAGCCTATACGTATCCATTTTGCACCCAAAAATAAACGCCTCCCTCGAATAACGCCCTCTAAAAAAAAACCTTTCTCAACCTCTCATTCGAATAAACACGATAAGTCATTTCTCAATCGATATGATAAATTTATTTATTTTTTTGTTATCGATATTTTTGTGCGTATATTTTGGCCTAGATATAGCTGTATAATGTCTATGCTGATGTAGATCAATGAGATGTTTTGCCCCATTGTTCATTATATATTCGAGACCAGCACTAAACTCCGTACTACAATTAGTATATTTGTTGGTTGTATTTTGCTACATTTTTGTGACTCATCAATTCATCCACAAAAATCTCACTGGACTCCCTGTTTCTGAGCATTTCAATTCCCTTGACCCTAAGATTAATAACATAAAATTTGCTATAATCGCTGGTACAGATAGGTTTTTTGGTATCTGAAAAGATGAGGATCTGAGTTGGAATTCAAACTCGAGTAAACTGTATGCTAAAGCTAATCAACGCCTGTTCTTCCTAAAGAAACTAATAATTATTTTAACGTTGGTAATGACTCATTATATCTCTTTTATACAATCAGTGCTTACTTTTTGTAATAATTCGTCTGATGACCGGACTGACCAAGAAATCTTGGAAAACTTACCAGGATTACACGAGTTGCCAGTAAGACATCGTATTGGTAAAGGTACTACCTTATGTAAGGTTGCCATGATAAATAAACTCAGAGGCATAATTAATGACGCAACACAACCTCTAAACAGTGGTGCCGTATAACATTCAGTAGATCAGGAAGAATAATTCAAATTAGAGTAAAGACAGACAGACAAACACATAAATTCATTTCTACCTAGTGCTATTAGGTTATATAATGAGGAATTTGTTAGGTAAAGTCTGTCTGTTAACGAGTGTTACCTTTTGTGTATATGTACTTATGAATATTGAATATTGTTTGTGATATGTGTATATTACCCAGGAAATAATTTCCTGTACTTGATTTATGACGAATAAGGATAAATCTGAACCTGAATCTGAATCTGGTAATTTTATTCAGACAGAAAACTCACTGAACTAAAATATATTCTCAAATACAAAACCCATCTTTTTGGCCTTTAAAAGAGATCTCGGCATTATTGGCAATGATTACACCGTTAGCCACCCGTGCACTCACCTCATTCTAATCTCAAACCGTCTCATAGATATTATTATAATATACTATCAAGTGGAACATATAATGAAATAAAATTCCTTTTGCATAGTTTTATACCGATTTCTACTTTGAATATTTTACATTATCTTTAGCTACATGTATACCTCATATTTTGTTATTTCCAGTTTGATTGTATTTTGGTTAATACTTCTAATTACCACATATCTATTTACGATAATAGCCTAGACTCCTTTCTTTATTCTATTTATTTTATTACATTCTGATACATATATCATAACTTGTTTTTAAAAATACTTATAATTCCTATATCATAATAGTGTGCTACACACATCTTTTGTTATTGTGACTATATTACTTATATAAATCTATTAAAACTACACTATGTTATATGAAAACATTGTTATATGATATAACAAATTTTACACTTCAGTTCAATATTGTGACCCCAAAATAATGTTCTCATTTATATTGTGATATTCCGGGATTGGCCTATATATTTTGACCTATTAGGCACGCAATTAGTAATTGAGAAGTGATTAACTAATAAACTGTCGGTAACACTTAAAAATGACCTATGACAAACAACAGAACAAAATAAACAAAATGTTGGAAGTTTAAGCATCTGAGTGTACACTGAAGTCATAATAGTGGCAAAGAGTATATATAAATGATCATAATTAGTATTAATATAATTGTTATTATAGTATTACTTTTAATGTTATAATTATTATTTTATTGTTATTATTATAAATATTATCATCATCATCATGCTCATAGGACCACATATACCTAATTAGACCTAAGTAAAATAATAACCGCTTATGAAGCCTAGGACTTTGTTAATACCAATTTTAAATGTGTTCAGTTTCATAATCCACTGAAGTTCAGCACAACGTCTGTCAGTTAGAAATTGAAACCTGAAGCTTCATGTGCCTATTGTCTTACGATTTATTTTGGTTAATTCCTTGCAGATTTTATTTTGATCTGTTCTGTATTTGTCATTCATACATGTAAACGCTGAAGGACACATGCGTGTCAGAAATATTCGTCTTGAATAAATTTTACGTCTCTATAATGTTAACGTATGCAATCGCTACATTTTCGTATCTTGGTTATATTTACACCACCCTCCCCCAACATACATACATAAATATAAAGGAATTGTGTAATAAAATGCCTGCGACGGGATTCGAACCTGCGACCTCTCACTGACACGCCGCGCGTCATAACCACTTGCCCACGAAGGCTTCATGGCTGAACAGGTCCAAATAACCGTCGGGAACATTGTATTACACAATGCTACGCCTCATGAGGGCGTTCGGCCAGATAAATCTGGCAATACGGCTAGAAATACTGTCGTATA